GTTTCTCTCTGTGCAGCCTCAACAGCTGGGTTTTGCCCCAGTGGGGTTGGATTCTGGGCTGCTGGGACATGTGTGTGTGCTCACTGAGGTGGAACATTCCCTGGTGAGAAGACAAAGCCCTGGGTAAAACCTGCAGGATCCAGGAACTGGAACTGGTGAGAGAAATTCTGATTTTGGTACAGAGCAGCATGCACAGATTCCAAATCCTGGAAGGCCTTTTTCTCTATGCCACTGAAATTACTTGGCCTTTTCCCCTCCTGCAGGATGATTCTGGACATTAGTGTTGTCCTTCAGTGACAGAAATTTCCCAATAAAGCCCCTGATCGCTTGACAATAATTTCTGTGCTGCAATCAGCAGCACAGAAAGGAAAGTAGCTCTCTACTTTTTTTCTTTCTTTTTTTTTTTTTTTTTTTTTTTTTTTTTTTTTTTTTTTTTTTTTTTGTGTAGACAATTGAAAACAAAGCAGCAGGAAGGGAAGTTTCGGTTCCTGCACATGAAGAGCAGCAGGGGCTCAGCAGTGACAAATGCCTGGGCTGGCTCTGCAGCTGTCCTGCACGTGGAGCCGGAAGGCTCCTTATTCTGTTCAGACTTGAATAAGGTTTCTACAACAAGCTGGGGCAGTGACAGGTGGTGGTTGAATATCAGCACTTTACTGGTTTAGTATCAATACTCATCTCTTCAGAACTGGGGTCTTAGTGAAAGTGAAAAAATAACTTTCATTTGGGGCAGGTCGGTGGCTGCCACAGCTGGGCTTGAAAACTGATGATTTCTGCTAAATCTGAACGTGTGAAATTGTCTTCATTTCAGCAGGAGGCTGTGAGGGCTCCCACACATGGGATGAGCACAGAGCCAGGGATATTCTACCTGGTTTTAGTGCTTGGGGAAGGAGCAGAGCAGGCTGGGCTCCCTGAGGAGGAGGGCTGGAGACACAACTTTTATTTTAGGGTTTTGAGGTGGTCGAGCAGTGCATTGTGCTGCTGCCAATGAATGCAGCAGAATGCTGCTTATCTGGTTATTGTTCTTTATATCTCTACTACATGTTCTTGTCCCCTGCTTCGTGCCAACAGTTGGCTCTGAGCTAATCCTGCCACCTTCTAATCCATAAAAAATCCTGGTCAGACTCCTTGATTCCCTGGCTTTGAGGTCATTAAGCTGCTTGTGATGGCACAAACAAAGGGCAGGTGACATCTCAGCTGTCTCAGTTTCCCCAGGTGCCTCTCACAGAGGCCCAGGGATGGACAGAACCTCACCCCCACTGGGGAGGTGTCCCAGGCAAGGCAGCTCTGCCAACAAGGACAGTTGGCCGTACAAGAAGTTCTCCCCAGAGATGTGACACCTCCACCCCCAGAACAGGAGTTTGGGGTTTTTTTCCTTAAAAAAGAAGCCCTGAGGAGGAAGCCATAGACTGCTCTCAGTTATTCTTACTGATGCAATGTGCCCCCACCCTTCCCCCAGCACCCACGGGCATTATTTTTAGGGTTTGTTTACCTCACTCAGTTCCAGCTCATTCTTTTCTAGGGTGACAAGGACTTCCCTCACGCAGCTGCCCAGGTGGCATGAGAGAAACCACAGCCTTGCCTGGAGAACTTTCCCCTTCCCTTCAACTGATTTACCAGTGAGTGATGGGGTCAGAGCCTGGGCCAGCTCAGGGAGGAGGTGACACACCAGTGCCATGCTCTGAGATAGCTGGGAGCAGCTGCCAACTCCCCCAGTACCAGTTTACTTGCTCCTCATTCCAGTTTGGCTCCCACCCAGCCCGGATCCTTTTGGCACTAAGGGCTTTCAAACCATAACTTAAAAATACACATGCACAGAGATCAGGAGCTGTCAGGGGAGGAGAAATGATCAGCAGAGATACTCACCCAGAGCTATGAAAAGTCCAGGGCTTCTGAGTGATGCAGGATAACCAGGAACAGGGATTGCAGGAACCACAAACTGGGACGGGGCAGTCACCCCCTCCCCTACCTTTATGTAGTGTAAGGCAAACTTGTGTCCCCTTTCTCTAATGAGGGCCAGGTTTTTTATTGAAGATAAAAATCTTCAATCAAAAGCAATAAAAATCTCTCTTCTTTTTAAAGAAGATTTGGAACTATGAAAGGAAGTAGGCAGCTCTTGCTGTTGAAAGTACTAAAATAGGTTAAACCTATCCAAGAAATACACTCTTTTCTCGGTAACAAGTTCTGTGTAACTTGGCTGCAATATTTGTGGCCCAAGTTGTGATTTTGTGTGGTTGCTTGGTGGATTTTACTGGTTTAAGTTAGGGCTTTAAGGTGGAGGCTGTTTTCTTAATCGAGAAAGTTCCTGAATATTAAGGGTTTGGCTCACAGTCACCTCAGAGGAGCAGGGGAATGGTTGAAAGTGCTGTGGCTCTCTGCAGATCCCCAGTTCTTGCTCTAAACCTTGCTCAACCAACTGCACCTTGTGCACAAACCAGCTCTTGGGGCAGGTCTCATCACGGTGAGACCCAGTGTTTATTTAAGGATCTCTGGGTTTGGGGTTCTGCATTTTAAGTTGTGTTGTGCTGTAGTCTGGAGATGCTTCATGACTCTCTGGGCCAGATGCTGAAACTCACCTTGTCCTTTCTCTTCTGGGAGAAAACGTGAGACTTTGCTCAGTGAAAGCAGAAATGTGCCTTCGCTCTGGCACTCAGGTGTCAGGTTTCTGTCTCCTCGTGTTCTTTGAGTTTCTTCCTCTTTGATTCCGTGGTTACAATTACACGGCACTTTTTGTGAAGGATATGGGTCCCCCCCTCACTCCCCGCTGTGTGCTCTGAGGCACGAATTAACTGGGAAGGTCAGGCAGGAGTGCTGTGTTTATTGTTCTAGTTGCAGTTCCTGCTCTCACCCTGGATGTGGGTTACAGCACCCAGGGCTGCTGCCTCTCCCTGTGAGCAATTCCACAGTAATGTGGTGGTTTATTACTGAACTTTCATTAAACGTGAACAATAAAATGCTACAGCTCAAAGAATTTTCACTTAAAGGTTGATGAGTAGCCATTAGGTGCATCCATTTGTGGAGCAGCATCAAGATACGTGGGTTAACAGCTAAAATAAAAACTCCTTAACGTGCTGCTGACTTGTTTCTTTTATAATCCATCAGCAGATGAAGTAACCAACATTTTTCTATTTAGTTTATTTTCTACACTCTCTTTGCTGCAGGGCAGCACTGGTATGAAGCTGAGCTGATCAAACAGCTCCTGACAGGACAGAAGGATTGACAAGGACTGTACAAGCATGGAGAAAATACAATGAAAAACCAGAAGTATTTTGTTTAAATTGTTATAATTTATTTTTCTCAAGTTGCAAAATACAGTCAGTTTTCAGACATCAGTGGGGAACCTCAGGTTGGGATCTTAGGCCAACGTTAACATGACTCATCTAAATTAGATGCAAATTTGTTCTGTCCGTTAAATTTAACCAGGGAAAGCCAGACTCTGACATCACCACTGCCTCGCTGAGGCACCAGCTGCAGCTGTCCCAGAGGGTCCCTCTGCATCTCTTTTATGGAAGCAGCTGTGCGTTATCCAATTTGGAATTCATCTGGTGTGCAAGGACCTGAAAACCTCTTCGTTTGTGGGAGGGGAATGGATTTTACCTACAGGACACAAGTACAGTTCCATGTGCTGGTGGATCAGTTTCCTGGCTGGAATAAGGTGAATGGATTCTGCATTGAAAAGTTCCATGGAAGCAGAGTGTTCTCGGGGTACATTTGTGAACATATTGAACTTTGTCTGTGTAAAACAGCTTTACATATTGAATACACATTAACAATCTATTGTTGCTGATGATTGTTGCAAATACCCCGTGCTGGGGGTATCCCTGGCTCTGGCCAAGATCATGATAGCTGTGTCCTGCCCAAATAAGGATGAGAAGGAAACCAAGGGCAAATAGCTGTTCAGTGTCAGTTGTCACCCCCTGTTTCATGTGACAGATAAACAGCACTTCTGTACAGTTACCTGGGCATTGTAAACGAAAATAAGTTCAGCAGTTGAGCACAGATAGGTAACACAGAGCAGAATGTCCTCTCTCCCCAAATCCCAGCCCTTGGCAAAAACCCCATACGCCAGAGGTAAATGGTTTATGGAGAATTTAGTTAGATTTGGTGGCAGCCAGGTAAATAACTGGCAGTGTTGTTTCAGACTGAGCCAGTGAATTCTGTCTTGGATGGCTGATTTTAATCCTCAGTTCTCTAAAGCAATGCTCTCCAACCCACGAACCAGAGAGTTCTGTGTGTGACTCCTGATGGATCCATGTGTTGAAATAAAGGATAAATGTCTGTTTAGTGAGTGTTTTGCTGCTCATGGCTCTGTGGAACATGGACATGTCTCCCCTGTCAGCCCCGGGAGCAGCTCCAGACTGAGATCTCTCTCCTCTGGCGATGGCTGTGGGAGAGCTGGGTGCTGTGGGATCAGAGCACACAGGACAAGGACAGGGACAGGGACAGGGACAGCTGCCCAGCCTGTGCACAGCTCCTCCCAGCTGACGTTCAGCTGTCCCACCACAGCAGTTCCCAGAGCGTTCGTCTGTCATCAGGAATCTTCGCTCTTCCTGTAAAAGCGCCAACTGGAATTACAGCCTGGGCTCCTCCAAGGTCGGACTTGCCACGACAATAATCTGCTGTTCAGCTGCCGTGGCCTGGCAGTGGTGGGGCTGTGTTCACATCAAACCTCAGTGAGCGGTGCCTTTGTTGGTGCCTGCAGCACCCATGCAAAACACACCCCAGTAGCTTATGAGTGAAATACAGATCTGACTTCAAAAGCAGCTGAAGTCCTGCTAGAAGGACTGGGAAGGGAGGAGAAAACCCACATTCATATTTATCTCAAGGTCAGCAAGTGATAGTCCAGAAACAGGATACAGGCAGAAGTAAAGTGGAATTTGTACTTTTCCTAACAGAGATGTGAGAGGCTATAATATCATATAAAGTAATTGAAATACAGTGAGAGTTTGTATGGATTTCACATTAGCTGTGGTCATTTCTCCCTTTTCATGGGGGAAGGCAGAGCAGTCATATGCTTGGATCCTCTGCAGCTGGGATTGTCTGTTGGATTGAGTCCGAGGCTGTGGCTGCAGGTTTGCCTTGGACTGACTCAGTGCAAGGGCATTTCTGTGGGATTGCAGAGCTGTTGTCTTGTTAAAAGCAACATCCACAGCAAGGGTGATGCCCTTGGCAGCTCAGCTCCAAACAACAGTTCTGCTCCACCAACCTCTGTTTTCCTTTGGTGCTTGTCGCTTTTAGGGTAAATGTTCTATTTTGAGCATTTCTCATTTTGACAGGGAAATACCAAGCTGAAGGTGAAATGACAGGAGAAATTGTAGACTCACCACCTTTCCCTTGCTTTACTGTTAGTGACAGCTCTGTTGTAAAGTCTCTCCACCCGTGGGATATTGGCCAGCAGTCCTTGCTGCTTGAAACAGGGGGAGGCTTCTGGATTTTCCCCTCGACTTCTCTGCGGTGTGGTAGGTCTTGCTCTGCCAGGAGTCCAGACTAGAGAAAATGTCCAAAACCATTTCAGCTCGAGCAGAGCGTGCCTGGAGCTGGGCTCACGGGGAGAAGGTGGTGGTTGTCTCTGTCTCCATGGCGAAGGAGGACCTCTTGTTGTCGCGGCAGGAGGTGAGCTGCCGCAGGCGCTCCTGGCTCAGGCAGCCCAGCTCCTTCAGCAGCTTGAAGAGGTCTGTGCGGAATTTGATGCCGATGAAGGCGTAGAGGAAGGGGTTGAGGCAGCATCGGAAGCAGGCCAGGGTGTAGGTCACGTCGTCTGCCATGTCCAGCTTCTTGCTCTCCTCACATGAGCTGGTCTGGTTGAAGGCTGAGATGGTCTTGGCCAGCATGACGCTGTTGTAGGGCAGCTGGAAGACGACAAAAACGATGACCACGGCGATGATGACCTTGATGGCTTTGTTCTTCTCAAAGTTGCGGGCCTGGAGTAACGTTTTGATGATGATGAGGTAGCAGAAAGACATGACCAGGAGGGGAATTAAGAAGCCAAACACCATTTGGGATACTTTGATGCCAGTGTTGAAGGTCTGCAAGTCATTAGCAATGATGGAACAACGGGGATTGCTGTCCAAGTTGTTCACACCACTGTGAACCAGCTCAGGGATGGAGAGGATGAAGGCCAGGAGCCAGATGATGGCACAGGTCACCTTGCTGATGAGCATCATCCAGGGCCGCAGGCGATGGGCTGAGGCTGCCTGGACGATGGCAATATACCTGTCGATGCTGATGGACAGGAGGAGCAGCATCCCGCTGAAGAAACTCATTTTGCAGATGCAGTAAATGGCTTTGCAGGCCAAGCTTCCAAAAAGCCAATATGTGGCTGCACTTGTGGCCCAGAAGGGAAGGGTCAGCAGGAAGAGGATGTCTGCCACAGCCAGATTCAGCAAGAACATGTCTGTCATGGTCTTCAGCCTCTTGTAGTAGATGTAGGTGAGCATCACCAGCCCGTTCCCCAGCAGCCCCAGGAAGCAGATGAGGCTGTACATGGCTGGGAGGAAGGCAGCACGGAAATCACGGACCTCCTGCTTCTCACACAGGGACTCGAACATGCTGTAGTCGATGGTGCTGTTGGAGTCATAGTCATAAGTGACGTTCCCAGCACAGAACTAGAACAGGAAAGAGAAGAAGAGTGTGTTGGGACAAGGACTGTGTTGCCTGCGTGGCTGTGCTGGGAAAGGAGCCTGGAAGGAAGTCCCAGGGAGTTCCCAAGTGCTGTCTCATGCCAACATCACAATCAGAGCAGGCACAACCTCATGGCTGAAAGTGTTTCCCATAAATATGTGAGGTTTGGGACTTTTTGGGGGGCTCCAAGTGGAAATTCCACCAGAAATGTTTCGTGCTCAGCCAAAGCAACACCTGCAAACCCTCAGATGTGTGGCAGCTTTCCAGAGTCTTCCAGGACCTTCCTCCAGCTGTGTGTGCACAGCTGGCTGTCAGATAAAACGTGAGAAATAAACTCAGCTAAATTAGAACTCAACGAAGGTGTCGGTGAGACCGTGGGGAAGTGCAGTGAGTGCAGCAGGAAGCTGCTTCCGTGTCGGCACGGACGCAGGGCCAGCATCTCATTCAGGCCCCTGATTTCAGTTCTGATTATTCTTGTTTCATCTTCCTACACTGCCATAACCTGCGGTATCTGTGCCCTGCTTTTTGTGACTTATTAGTCTCCAGAACCTTCTCCCCATCGCACAGACATGAAAGGTTTCCCCTGGACACCCCCACCCTTTATCTTGGTGCTCTCCATCGCAGCAGGTTGGGCTTTCACCACATCCTGCCAGGCAGTGAAAGGGAAAAGCAGGGGCTGCTCTGCTCTGCCTGCGGGCTGAGCCCCAGGCTGCCCCACGGGCTGGGGAGTGGCCACTGCTGCCGAGGGACCACGGGCACCAGGACCAGATCTCGGGTTTAGGAGCAGGTCGTGGCACAGCTCTGTGCTTGGGGTCCTCCTTGCAGGGCCAGGGAACTCTGAGCGAGATCAGGGCAGGGGAAGATGCTGAATTCTTCCTCCTCCTCGGGTGTATCCCTCTCCAGCTCTGTGCTTGGTCAGAGCCCAGCACCTTGACCAGGAATTTGCAGGGAGCAGGAACCAGCTACTCCCTGCAATCAGCGTGGTGCACTCCAGTCTGTCCTGGAAATGCTCACTTTGGGACTAAAAGGGGACTCACACAGCCCCGGCCATCTGAAAATCACTGTGTTTGTCACCATTTCTCTCTCTTTGGTTTTGTTTCTCCTGTTTGTTTCTCTGTAGCTGGGCTCTGCTCTCACCTCCCACCTCCCACAGCTGGATCCTGGGGTGAGCAGCTGTGTCCCCACACACTTCTGGGACTGTGGGTGGCTCTGAGTTTTTGAGATATCCCTTTACCCACAAAACAAAGCAGCTGAATTTCAACAATGTTGTTGAAAACATCTTACCTGAAAAACAAGTGGCAGGCTGAAAACAAGGGTGGCCTTTAGCTGCTTGCCTAGGGAAGAAGGAGATGCTGTGTTAGTGGCTGAGTGGGGGTTTCCACATGGTTCTTACTTTGAAAAAGCAGTGGGTTGCGTTGTCCATGGCACTGTGAACCCTGCAGAGCCCTCACCACTGAGGAAACCAAAATCTGGGTAAGATGCCAGCAAGATAACCCAGGGTCATGTGTGTTACTGTCAGAGCACTGGTGGAGTGCTGGAATCTGGCCCCTCTGGCTTCACAGAATCAATTTGGGTTGGAAGGGGCCTCTAAAGGTCATTCAGTCCAACCCCCTGCAGTGAACAGGGATGCCTTCAACTAGACCAGGTTGCCCAGGACCCCGTGCTGAAGGCTGAGAGCTGAGGACTCTTAACTCAGACACACATTTTTATTTTATCCATTACTTTTCCCTGCAGGCAGCCTGTTCCCTTTTGTCTGAGCACTGAGGGTGCAGATTAAGCCATGTGAAAATATCCAGCTGTGAGAGCCATAAATCTGGCCCAGCTGTGCTCCTGTGGTGCCTAGGCTGTGGGGAGGAGAGCTCAGCTCCCCATGGGACAGATAGAACTGGAACTGGCTGAAATTTATTGCTTGTCTCTAAATGTCAAGAGTTGGCTTCTGCTGCCTTGGGATATGAAAATACAGAATGCTGACAGCTGGAAGGAAAAACTGAATTCAGAGCCAGGTGTGATAATGGTGAGAGCAATGTCAGCCGAGCAGCTCTTCCTGCTGTGGTTAGCAGGGCAGGGGCCAGGGAAAGCTTTCTCCTTTCTGGTTTTACAGCATCTGCCTCAGGCAGTTGCCACTGAAATTTACTCTGGAAGTGAGAAAGCCCTTGGCTCCACTCTGGTGTGAGGAGGAGATGTGTCCCTTCCTGAGGGCTGCCTTGGCCCAGGATGTCCCTCCAGGCACTGGCTGGTCCCTGCAGCCCCTCACTCCCTGCGGGTTTTCTGCTCTGGCCTTTCAGCTGCCTGTTCCTCCTAGAACTTTGCCTTGCTCCTCATGGCCTGGTTGTTCATGAACGTGACTGATTCCTGTGCTCAGTCTGCTGGATTCAGCTCTGCTTGGCTGCAGTTTGGAGCCTGCTGTGCCAGGCTCCTGCTCATGTTGCACCAGACCAGGACGATGAACTTCCACTACGGTAACAGCACCCACTGCACCCGTGTTAGGTCATGTGCAACAGATTCACTAATAACAGATAGAGTTACCTGTGAGTGGGGATGTTTTTTAATACTTGAGGGTGATATGTGGGTGACAGATCCAGCCACGTGTGAAAACTCTGCTCATCCCCAGGCCTGTGTTAGCGCTTCCCCTGAGCTCTCCTAGAAGCTCTATCTCACCTTCCCCCCTTATTTTATTTTTTTTATGCTCATGCAGCTGTGTCCTCATTTGTGTTCACCCTCTCCTCACCTTCTCCAAACTCTCCTGGGGGTGTCTGAGGGATTCCCATGGGAACCCTTAGTGCAGGTGGCTCAGGGCTGGAGGAGTGCAAGGCAGGGGCTGAGGGTGAATTGAAGCTTCTGGCTGTTCTGTCCAGCCAGTGGCTTTTACTCTGGCCAGTCCCAGATTGCAGGAAGAAGTTTGGTGTCTGTTGTGGTTGTCTTCCCTTCAAACTGATGCCCTGCCTTTTGCATGTGACACAGGAAACACACGAAAAGCCCTAAGGACTGAAACCCACTGGGTTGTTTTAAGCAAGCACAGACTGTGACTGCCCTCCCTGCCTGGGATACAGGCATGGGGTCCCTGACTCTGCAAACACCAGAGCAGCCTTTAGTCTTCTGTTGCACCTTCTGGTTTCCCTGGTGCTCCTGGCTGCCCGTGGATGGGTGATGAGTACCTGTGCTGGTAGCTCAGCCCCAGCAGGAAATCACCCTGGGTAAGAGGCAGAGGAGAACCACCCTCATTGCATGGAGGAAAAGCACCCCCCTAAACCAGAGTCCACCAGCTCTCCCTGGCTTGGTTTGCCAGCTCCAGATCCAGCCATGACTTAACCTGACCAGTCCCAGCCCTAGCCCTGCTGAGGGCTCCTTTGCTCTGTTCTGTTTTCTTATCACCCTCTGAAGGTCTAGAGAAACAGCACTGAGAACGTGACTCAACCAACTCCTGAAACACTTCAGCCAACATAATTCCTTTGAAGATCATCAGAGGTTTCTTTCTTATCACCCTCTGAAGATCTAGAAAAACAGGACTGAGAACGTGACTCAACCAACTCCTGAAACACTTCAGCCAACATAATTCCTTTGAAGATCATCAGAGGTTTCTTTCTTCTCCCCCTTCTCAGTTACTGTTTCAAGTGTCTTAAATGTCAAATGACTTTTCAATACGAAGAAACCCTGTTCTGTTTCTGCCCCTCTTCTGTGCCCTCTCCTTAGATTACACATTTGCAAAAGCACAACCAGAGAGGCCCTGCTGCCTCCTGCTCCCTCTACACCAGTTTGAGCAAATTTGTGTCACTGCTTTCAGTCAGACTGGACAGGACTGGCATTTCTTCAACTTGTCTTGTGGTCTGGGGCAGTGGGCAGAAACAATTATCATGACACGAATCTTGCTCTGCTGTTTATCAGGCAGTTTAGGTACATTTTTTTACTTTTTCTTTCTTTTTTTAACACCTCCTGGCAGTTGGCTGCTGTGGGTATTTTCTTAAAGTTTTTAAAGTTTTGTTCCTCAAAATACTAAGGAAAAAAAAACCCACCCAAAAGTCCCTGCAACCAGTTGCACTAGAAACCTCATTTATAAAAATACACCAAAACTCCACCACAGCAAATGAGTCAGTCTGGCCTTAAAGCCCCATGTCAGCCCCATGCCTCAGCCTGGGAGGTGCTGGTCTGAGGCCATCCTTGTCCTGAGAGACCAGGAAACAGTGGAAATGGGAATTTCTCCATGAGTGAAGGAAGAAAGGGTTCTATTCATGGCAGGGGATGGGAACCCCTCAGTTTTGCAATCTTCCTCCACAGATTAGCCCAAGGAGTGGGATTCATCCCTTGGCAGCTGTTCAGGCTCCCTCAATAGCAAAGGGAAAGAAAAAAGTGTTTTTAAGCCCCAGTTTAAGCCCTGGGGTGGGCACCTGGGGCACAGCTCAGGCTGAAGGGTGGCTGAGTTTGGACAGGTGGGTCCCTCCCAATTTATCTGGATCTCCCCCAGCACCAGCTACTAATTGTAAGCAAGGTAAGAGCAGCTGCAGGAGCAGTGAATCCTGACAGGTGCACCCAGAAAAGCCTCTGACAATGAAAGTATTTGGTATCAGGACATGCCTGGAAGAGCAGAGACAGTCCTGAGGGTGATTAATCAGATCACAAACATGACCAGGGCAGCTCACGAGGGTCTGGCTGCTGCTACAGCCAAGGGATGCACGAGAGCAAAGCAGGAGCTGGGAATGATTTAGGGATCAGATGCAGGGAGCAAAGCAGGAGCTGGGAATGCTTTTTGGCAAAACTGAGTAAACCTGCTCTGGCCAAACCCTCGTGGTGAAAGGAAGTTTTTTGGCCATCTGGGATTACAAAGCAAAAGTTCCAGCCTCAGCACACGTGTAGGCAGTGATTAACCTGCTCTGTATTTTATACATGTACCAGATTCTGGTGCCCCTTCTTCAGCAGTACAGGATGCTTTTGGGGGAAGAACCAGGTATTTCTGAGAAAAGTTAATCAGAATTAAGTGATCTAATGACTACTGGCAGTTAACAGCCTGCTCTCGCCCCTTGCCCCCCTCACAGCTGGCAGAGGAAAGACACTGTCATCTCAGGAGTGAGTGCACCCAGTGAAACCCGGTCATGCTCATATTTGATGTGTTCACTGATCTATCACAGAAGAAATTTAATCATTATCTACCTTCACTCCTTTCAGGAAACTTTGAATCAAAAGATGAGATAAGCAGAGAGAAGCAAATGAAAAATTTCCTGCTGAAGCGAGATAGTTTTGTTTTAAAGAAAGCACCGTGGTGGTACATCTTCCAGGGAAATGAAATATTCCTCTGAAATACGATAGTTGAACAAAAAAACCCAAAGCAGGAACACTATCATAACCTGGTCAGGTTCTCACTAACTCTTTCTTTTCCCTTTTCCCAGGAGCTAAGATCGGCTGCCCCAGGACACTGAACCCCTTGGAACAAGCAACCCACAAAGTGCCCACAGGATATGCAGAGGCCAAAAGTTTAAACAAGAAGAATGATGTGTGGTGGGCAGGTCCAGCTGCGTGTTTGTTCAGATGCAGGGATTCCAAAATCCAGGAATTTCCTCGGCCATTGATTGCCAGAGACTCTGAGGAGACATCCAGGAGAAGGAAAACTCCTTTGGCCCATTCCCTGCTCCTGCCTGGAGGGCTGTTTTGGTTTAATTGGTCCTGTGGGACCTGCCTCCTCTTTTCTCTGCATCCCCCAGAGTTTCCTTTATTCCCCAGAACTTCCTGCATCCGTGCCCCTGACCATCCCCAGAGCCTCCTGCATCTCCAATGCATCCTGCTTTCCCCAATGTTCCTGCAGATATTTCTTAATAGAAATAATCTGCAAAAGACAGGATGAATCGTTAGTGAACAATCTCAGCTCTTCTTTCTCCCAATTCCTCGATTGATTCACTGACTTAAAATCTTGCCAGGGAGAGTGCTCTCTCTCTCTCTTTTATTTTTTTATTTTTTAATTAAGAACACAGAAGAAAAGGTGTGAATTATACCAGATTCCATTTGCTTTGGAACAAAAGGGCCCCTTAAAATTGCCTCCCAACCTCTTTTTTTTGGTATTTGTTTCTGAAATTATTTGAGGTTTTTGAGCTTCTAGAAGAGAACGGTGCATTTTTTTTTTCAAATAGTAAAAATGAGGAAGACGAAAGTCTTTTCTACTATTTAAATACTCTGATAGAAGTGCTCCGCTCCTGTGTCACAGGACAGGGACGGGGCATCATTAATAAAGCTGAAGACACAGCCTGAGGCTGCAGTCCAGGTACTCACCTCTATCCATGGTGTGGTTCCAGCACGATCCAGTCACAGAGGTAGGCACAGCATCACCCGCTCCAGCACCTCCTCCCCAGCTCCTGCCAGGTACCCTCCTCGGGGAACTCTGATTTTATACTTCCTGCACCCATGTGAGGAGCTCATGGGCACCCAGATGTCGCTGACATTTGAAAGACCCTCCTCCTCCTCCTCCTCCTACTCCTCCTCCTCCTCCTCATGTGTTCAGTGCTGTGTTGAGCTCTCAGGGTGCTCAGGTGCTGCCTTAGATTGTTCCACACACCCAGAGCTGTTACTGACACTTGGGGAAGTGAAGTGGGCTCTGCTTTCGGACTGACACATGAGGAATGGTCTGTGGTGAGGGAAACAGGGCAAGGAGGCTCTTTCATACCTCCCCTCTCCTGCAAATCCTGCTTTGTCAGTGCTCAGTACTGAGGAAATAGAGGTTTCCATCCCATCCCATCCCATCCCATCCCATCCCATCCCATCCCATCCCATCCCTTCTACCACACCTGTTTTGGGAAGGGTGTTCAGGATGAAAAGTCTCAGTGCACTGGACCACCCATGAGCAATAGTCCTTTGTCCTTCTCCCTCACTACACTGCGAGCAGCTCAGTGACTTCCCCCCTTTCTGGGTATTTTTGTCTTCCTCAAATGTTCTGCACTTTGTCAGTGTCATGCCTCCCCCCTAGGCAAAGCAGTGGCTTTTGTTTGGTGGATGTCAAAGAGGGCTCTGCTCTTGGAACAGACCTCTCAGGTAGAGGGGCTGTTTCTCACACAGAAACGTCTCCAGCTCCTCACAAACTCGCTTTTCTCCTAAGCCAGGCTCACCTAGAATGATGCCTTTGGCATCTTATCCTCTCTGTTTTCTTATGCTGTGTCAGTGCTGTTACTGCAGCCAGGTGGAAAAATAGGGCATCACAGGATGGAATCCCAGCCCTAATTAAGTATATCTGAGGCTGAGGGTAGCTTTGAGGCTCCTGTGGATTATCTTAGGTCCTTTATGAAGACTCAGATCCAGTTTCAGACTCTCCTTCAATGTGGTCCCAGCCCAACTCAAAAGTCTTCCCAGTGCTTCCCTCTCAGTGGACCAGTGTTGGTGTGGTTCTGAGCCCATTCTGGGCTACTCAGAGAACAGGCTGCTGGGGTACTCAGGGTCAGGATTTTGGGTTTTTGGGGGGCAGGGTGCTGGGGCAGGAGAATTGTGACAGTTTTCCTCTTCTCACACACAAGGTAACCCTCCCTCACCCCGGTGCTCTCTGAGTGCGCGGCACTGACTCCTCCGCACCTCCCCTGGCACTTATCTCAGTCAGCAGGTGCCATTCACATCTCTGCAGCTATTTATTGCTCTGTTTGCCTTTGCTCATCAGGTATCCAGGCAGGTAGGCTGCCTCGAGAGCTTTATCTCGTAACCACTTCCGCCGAGGAGATGAAAGATTTCCCTTGGGTACGGGCAGAATACCCGGAATCGAGGGGTGCAACAGAACTGAGGAGGCTGCACACAGGTCACGGCGCTGCTGGGGAGCTGTGGGTGTGCACAGGGGGCATGGGCCCCTCGGGGTGCTCTGTGCTCAGCCTGCTCCAGGGACGGGCACCAGGCAGTGTTCTGGTGCATCCATCCCCATGTCCACACTGGCTGAAGCCGAAGGTGAGAGAGGGGAGGCAGGCAGGTGGATTGCAGCTTGTTTTCTGCATATAGTCCCATGATTCAACTTCAAAGGTTTGGTACGTGCCAAATTCTGTGTTGTTAGAGCCCATTCAAGCAAACTGTTTTTCTTAAAAAGAAAGGGAATATTTAAAATAAACAATTTGCTGTTTATGACACTGAACTTCTTGTACAGTCACGTTTTATACCCAGGGAGTTCTCAGAACATTTATTAAATCTTTGCTTAGTTTGATTGTGTGTATTTGCAGTCTATTTCATGTCTGAGTGATTCCATCTCTGACACACTGTCTCAACCTGGGTGCCCCATGAGCTGCTTTTCATAAAACTGGGATCCTGTGTGAGCAGACAGACCAAACTCAGACAGTGCCCAGCCTGAGCTGTGCCCTTGAAAGCCATTGCACTGTGCTACTAGAACCTATTTCTTATTCCAAAGTTAATTAACTATATAAAAAGAATCAAATATCAGGTATTCCAGTCTCTGGGTCTCTCTGCTCCCCTCCAGCACCCATGAAAGTGGAAGTCAGTGATTTAAACCTGCTGCCCAGGCTGCAGCAGGAGCTGGGTGGCAGCTTTCATCCAGAAACTTCTCAACGAAAATGCAGCTCCTGATAAATTCCACAGGAAGTTTCTCAGAGAGATTTTGATTCAGTTCTTATTGGTTCCACTTGGACTGAAATATTGAGTTGAACTGAATTGAACTGTGTAATCTTGCATTGTCCTAGCATTAAATTGTAACTCACTCAGCAACATCACAAGGAATGTGTTTCACATCCCTGGCCTGTGTGTAAAACTGGAATTCCTGTGGGATATCCCAACACAGTCTCACAGACATCCTGAGGTGGGAAAGATCCAGGACAGGGTTCCCAGGCACCACGTGCAGGCTGGAGGACCTTGGAAATCAAAACTCAGGGCTTTGCCTATGGAGGTGGAATTTGGTCTGAGAGAAGCACAACATGGGATGTTCTTACATCCTGAGTTCAAAACTTTTTGGTATTTTCCACCAGTTTTGCTTTAGGTGATTGATAATAGATGGAAACCCTGGCCCTGTGCCCCTGCTCTGCCCTTTGGCTGACATGAGCCATGGGAAGGTTTGTCCCCGTGGCTGGAGGAAGCCAGGGGTGCCCAGACAGAAGCGTTGGTGAGTTCAGGGTGGACCTTTCCCAGCTGTACTTCCCAGCCACATCCTTGCACTGACGTCAAGGAGGGACCCTGACGTCTGTCCTGCTGCTCCCTCTGCCTGGCAATGCCAGCCTGAGGTGCCCAGGATCTCCCAGCTCCAGCCTTGCTCCTGCCCAGACCCTCCTCTGACGTCTGGGGACATCCAGGGGGGTTTGTGGTGGAAGTCAGCAGGGTCACTCCAGGGAGGTGTTGACGTTGTTGTTCCTCAGGCAAATATAAAATAGCAGAAGTGAAAGCGTGAGTAAATTCCTGACCTTAAGAGTAGCACCAAGCTGGGATTCCTCACCCAGCCGAGTTCTTTAAGCGGGTATAGGGGATGCCCTGAGAAACATCTCATGATTGTGATCTCACCACCGGGTTATTAACAGATCTTTATCCTCCGGAGGGAGGAAGCAATCTGTGCAGCACCAGGCTCTGATTGGGATGCACAGCTGCCCATGGTGGTCAGCCACAGCAGAGAAGGCACACCCAGTGTCACTGAGAATTCACCTACATCATGTCCCAGGTGGTGGCCTGGCTCTCCAGTTCTTTTTTTTTTTTTTGAGAAAAAATAAAAGATTTACCAAATTGGCATCTGCCCTGCACTAAACAGTTGGATATCAGCAAGAATGTCTTCATGGGCAAGGTGGCCAGGCGTTGGAAGGGGCTGCCCAGGGGCGTGGTGGAATCCCCATCCCTGGATGTGTTCAGGGAACAGCTGGATGTGGCACTCAGTGCTCTGGTCTGGTTGGTAAGGTGGGAATCTGTCACAGGTTGGACTTGGTGACTCTGGAGGTCTTTTCCAAGCTAAATGACTCTATGATTCTATTCCGTGAAAGCAGCTCCCTCATCCTGCAGCCCAGGAGTCGAGATGTGAGGAGGGAAACAGACCCCGAGACGCCAGTGGAGAGGGGTCAGGCTGGCAGGGACAGTGACACTCCCCTTTCCAACCCCAGGGTGAGAAGGGCAATCCAGGTGATCAACCACTGACCACAGGCACTGCTGGTCCCTCTGTCCCTTAGGGCAGGGCTGGGCAGCTTTCCATGGCATCTGCTCCCTCTTGTCTGCCCACGCTGCCCGGGCTGGATGGGCAGTGATGAACAAACATCTTTCTAGCCTGAACATGAAGGAGACAGTGGTCACCTCAAAATGAAAAGGGTGGGAAAGGAGAAGTGATTGAAAATGGGAAGAAAAGCTCCTGGGATGTTACAGAAACTATGTCAGGAGAGCTTATGAACACCAGCTGTGTCTAGAGATGGTTTGAACCTTCCCACCCAGGCAGGCAAACTGCTGGGTAATTCCCACAGGATATCAAACACTAGTGAGCAGTGAATCATTTAGAGACATAACAAGATATAGCTTAGGGAGATAAAGGGATATTGATTAAAGAGATAAAGCATTATGACCGTTAAAGATAATTGAGAGTTGAAGAGTCCCTGACCATCCAGCAAACATCACTCCTGTGAGCTGTGTTCCCTTATTCAAAAGGGAAACACCAGTCTGCTGCTGCCTTTGGATGAAAACTGGATCTAGAAACTGGAAATAATCCCATCAGTGTTTGCTCTAAGAAGAGCTCATCCAGCCCTCTCTGTTACAGACCTGGCAATCTCATCACTGGGATTAAAAAACTGTAATAAACACATGATAATGTGATTTTTCACTTGGTTTCTGCTGTTGTTACTGTCACTCTTTCTGGTTTGGCTTTCCCCACCCTGAAGCTGGTACTAGAACTGAAATGGCTTTTTCTTGACTTTTTAACAGAATTGGGCGATAAAAGCAAATTGAAACTGGTTGTTGACAGAAATTACTGACTTTTGGAGTCACAAGTGAAGCTTTACGTGATGATTTACAACAAAATAAGACACCAGCCCGATATGTGCAAAACCACTTCAAAAAACCCCTCGAAGACTGTGGAAAAAGAAACGTCAAAGTGAAAGAAGGGAACTGAGAGCACAAACATCTAGACAGACCTGAAGCAGGATCTGGACTTTCAGATTCAAATGCCTGATCCCACTTGATCATCAGATCCTGCTGGGAAATGTTTGCCAGTCACTGTCAGGAACACTCTGCATACACGAGGGATTTCAAACCCAAGGGTCCGAGCTCTGGATTCAAAGAGTTGAGCAGGTGTTGCAATTCTTGAAGGCATGAACACTCTTGGCTGTGACAGTCCAGCATGAAACTAGAACTTTTTGTGTGCCTGCCTGGGAGAGCATGTGGAATTCCAGCCTCTCTGACCAGCTGACAGGATTGAAGCCCCACTTCTGCAGTGCAGCACCTGCAGTTCAT